TTCAAAAAAATATAGGATTGTGTGTTCACATATGTGTTTTTATGAACCCTCCAACAGAAAGCAATCTCCATATATTATAAAGGCTGCAATGATGTTTTGTTCTAGTTCCTTGCTAATAAGACTCCACCGTCTTCTATTAGACTGCAAATGAGGTCTTGAGTGTTGTTCTGTTCCCTCGTTTCTTGCTGTGAAGAGACAGCATAGCCTTAGCCCTCCTTCCCAGGTGTTATTATTGCTCAGCAAATAGCTATTCATGGAAATTACCTATCATTCTGATACATTATCATTAAAGACGGAGAGATGGATAGGAGAAACAATATATTGGCAGACAAGGATGACTTGTGTGCAATCCTGTCAAAGCTTAGGAAACAGGCATTAAGAGTTTCAGTCACTCGGCTGTAATTCAGCACCTTGGCACATCAGCCATTCTTGTGCGTCTCCTCTTTCAGACGTAGCATTCAGTTGGCTGAGACGAGTGCTGTGTCTCTCTAGTGTTTATTAATGTGCACTGCCATGTGCTACTGCATTTTAAAGATGAGGAGTGCTGAGAAGGAAAGCAAAATTTTTATTTTTTTTTTCTTGTGGACAAACAATTTCTATTGAAATTTCAGAAGTAAATGCAGTCTTTGTCAAACCTGTCTTTCACTTAGCAAGAGAAAAAACAACAGATTTGTTCTTTCAGGGGAAGTTCAAAAACCTGTTTTTACATATATATAGGTAATACAGGCTGTGCTGCCCCATGAGTAAAAATCTACTCTAATGTAGCTGACCTGGAAAGATGCAGATGGTGCACAGTCTTACACACAGTCTTACATATAAGTAGTCTTACTGATTTTAGGTAAGTTAGTGTTTCATAAAGCCATATTACCCAAGATTTAAAAAATTAAAATTCTTACATGGAAATTCATAATTTTCCCCTGAAATTCTGCATGGAGAAACACAGGTCAGATCTAAATGAAAAGTGTGCTGTTTCAAACAAGATAACTGACTTCTTTCCTCTTCTTTTGCACGGGCATTTTAAAGAACCAAAAGTCACAGAAGCAAAAGATAAGGCAAAACCTTTTCTATTAACATACTTCCCATGAAAGCTGAGGTGCTGTGGATGCATATGGCTTGTGAATAGTTATATATCCACAAACCTTACCTTATTATGTATCTTGCAGTCTATGGGCAAACTAATGGTTTCTTACTGTGAAGATCAAGCGACTTGTTACTACATTTAATCTCTTGGAGGATGATCAGCATAGGAAAATAGTCTATCTAATTCAAAATATAGTATCAGGACCATGAGTACATCAACAGGCTGCCCTGAGCAGCCTCCAGTGGGACTTCTACCCACACCCTCTGCCCATGGGCCTAGGATGCCCGATTCAGCCCAGGTCTTTGTCACTGCCTGAGCTATGTATAGGTGTATCTAGCTCCAGTTTGGTCTCTGGTTCTGTCTCCCAGATGGACTTTGGAGTCATGTTGTAGTCTTGTTTCCAGTCCTGTCTCTGACCCTTGTGGTTTTTTTGCTCCTGACTGGACTTGCTGGATGGGCCCTAAACCTGTTGGGGGCCCCAGAGGTGAATGCAGTACTCCAGGTGAGATTTCATGAGAGCAAAGTATAGGAGCAGCATCACCTCCCTTGACCTTCAGGTCATGCTTCTTTTGATGCAGCCCAGTATACGGTTGACTTTCTGGGCTGCTAGTGCACATTGCCAGCTCATAGCTAATTTTTCATCCACCAACACCCCCAATTCCTTCTCTGCAAGGTTGTTCTCAATCTGTTCATTCCCCAGCCTGTACAGATACTAGTGACGGCACTTGGCCTTCTTGAACCTCATGAGGTTCATATGGACCCATTCTTCAAGTCTGTCAAGGTCTCTCTGTATTGCACCCCTTCTCTCTAGTGAATCAACTGCACCACTCAACTTGGTGTCTCTTGCAAACTTGCAGTGGGACTCTAAGTTGATTATCCCATTGAGCTGTACAAACAGTCCTAGATATGGTTTTGACTAGTTAAACTAGCACTTTTCCAAATGATTTGAGGCATGGAAATACACAGAAATTAGCATTAAACTAAGATAATTCACAACTGGCACCTTTTCAGGAGGCATTTTGCATTATTCTAGTTGACCTCAGTGCCAGAGAGTGATTTGAGTATGTTTCATTTCCTGCTATTTTTGTTGACTACATGTATCTATTTGACTCAAATTCTCCATATGTGTACTTGTTTACATAGATTTTTCCTTATAAATCAACTGAGTATATTTGAACAAAGACACAATAAGGTAGTGACCTTGATCAAGAATGGTGTCTGAACAGACTCCCATGAATCTTCAGGGACAATGAATTAAATTCTCTCCAAGGCACATTTTAGAAATTATTCTGCCTCCAGCTTTGAAAGTCACATGATAGACTTGTTTAGTTTGGTTCCATACAGAGACAGTGACACCAGCACCATGCCTTCCAAGCCCTACTACAGAATTTAGTGGATAACCATTTCGACAGTAGAATTTAATAAGTTTTACTGTATTTTTAGAAGCTGCAGCTGAAATTAGACTGACAATATATAACAGGATGCACACATGACAGTGAGTCAGAACAACTTTGAGAAGACAATGTTTAAGATAAATGTTTTTAATTTCCTTTTAACAGGCAGATTTTGTCTTCTACTAATAAGCAAAATACTCATTTGTTTCATAAGCATATAGTAATTATGTTAACCATGGTTACAGGGTTTATCAGTGGAACTATAACCATCTTACATCATGTTCTACAGTGACAAAAAAAGGAGATGCTTTTTTAAGATTTTTACTTTTGACCTACTGATTCACATTCAAATTACCAAGTTATTTATAAAATTTCCAGTCATTCTAGTCAGAATTATTTTTAATTGTATACATTACTTTATAGAGGGGTATGCAGTAGCATTTTGCTGGATTATTCTTTGTCATTGAAATACAAAGTCTGTCTTGGTGAAGAAGAGGAAATAGATAATCTTTTCTATAAATTAAATAAATCCATGTCAGGGAAAGTCTTTTGCTTTCTGTCATCATGGTAATCAAAATAATAGAAGACAAAAGCAAGCAGGAGATGTGTTTACCCTGTTCTGGATTTAGTGTATCCATTATTTTTCACTCAAAGGTATCTCAACAGATTGGGAGGACAGACTGGCAGGAAACCCACGAAGTTTAGCAAAGGCAAATGCATGTTTCTGTGCCTGGAATGGAATAACCCCCATGCAAGAGTAAAGGCTTGGACATGAGTGACTAGAAAACAGCTTTGCGTGAAAGTATCTGAGAGTCCTGGTGGACAACAAATTAAACATAAATCTGCAATGTGTTCTTGCATTTATGAAGGCTAACTGTGTGCTATGCTTTAAATAAACAGGGGAGTTCAGGGGGATTGGTTATTCAGGGGGAGTGGTTATTTATGATTCAGAGGGAGTGGTTATTTCCCTCTGTGTAACATTTATGAGGTTGCATCAGTATCCAGCTGTAGTCTCCCTTGTACATGAAAGGCACTAACCACATGGTGCAGATAGCTATTGAGATAACTGGGGACTAAAGAGCAGGACATATGAGGAGATGATGAGAAAGCTGGGTTTGTTCAAGCTGGAAATTAAGTGTTCTACTACCCAGTAAGTGGTTATAGAGAACATCGATCCAGACTGTCCTTGGTGGTGCACAGCAAAAGAATGAGAGGCAGCAGAAGCAAGTTAGAGCAAAGGAAAAAATTACTTAGATGTAAAGTAATAATTTTCATAATAAGGATGGTCAAACGATGGACTGCATTGCCCAGAGAAACTGTAAAAACTCTGTTCTTGGAGATACACATTCATAGTTATACTAAACAAAGTTCTGGGCAACCTGATCTAACTTCAGATTTGGGTCTAACCCTTAAATGCTCTTAGCAGGAGTTTGGACCTCATTCCATCTGAAGCAGCCTTCCAGCCTTAGCTGTTCCATGAAGCTGTTTAATATCTTCATCATTGACATAGGCAATGGGGTGGAGTGCGTCCTCAGCAAGTCTGCAGATGACACCAAGCTGAGTGGTGCAGTTGATACACATGACAGACAGGATACCACCTATAGAGACCTTGACAAGTTGAGCAGTGGGCCCATATGACCCTCATGAGGTTCAACAAGGCCAAGTGCAAGATCCTGCACATCAGCTGGGGCAACCCCTGGTAACAGCACAGGTAGAGGAATGAACAGACTGAGTGGTGAAACACTGGAACAGGCTGCCTAGATAAGTGATAGATGCCCTAGGCCTGGAAACATTCAAGGTCAGGTTGGACGGGGCTCTGAGTAACATGATCTAGTTGAAGATGTCCCTGTTTACTGCAGGTGGGTTGGACTAGATGACCTTTAAAGGTCCTTTCTAACCCAAATGACTTTATGATTTTATAAATCTATGCTTCTGTAAATGAATGTGAGCTATTCCAAGATTACTGTTTTCTAGACTTCATATTTATTTCTGTTTTAGCAAAATGGTCACTAAAGATTTTTAAAATGTTGAATTACCCTAGATTTTCTCTGAAGGGACATAGCTGTTTAATTTATTTATTTCTTCTTGGGAAGAGACAGCCTTAAACCTCTGGTTGAGGGGACAAATTCTGATTTAATGGTACAGCTCAGCAAAAAAATGTGCAGGGGAAAAAGCTTTCAAGTCAGAATGATGTCATGAACATTCCAGCTATTTGGACTTTCTCCATTGCTAAGACAGAGTAATGATAACTGAGCAGCAGCATTGTTAGAATTAATATATAAGTGTAGTGGAGCAAATCCTTTTCTTCATTCCTACAATTTAGGATGGCCTACAAAGGAAAATATCAAAAGCACATACTAAATGAATATCTCACACATATGGTTGCTTTAGATTTGAAATACAGCTCTTCAGAACCTTACAGGACAGGAGGGACTCCAAAAGAGATGAAACATGGCACACAGAAATGTTAAGTCAAGATGTCAGAGAAAAAAAAAACCACAAATTTTTAAATTGAATTTACTCACTTAGCATCCTCTTTCCCATCTTTTTGCTGATGCTGTTCCTGTTGAGTTGTCTTAGCTGGTTCAGTTAAGTTTTCAGTTTTTGAAGGCTCATGTTCTTTTGCTGGTACTGTATCTAGAAAAAAGGTTTTAGTTTGTGAATAACAATTTTTAAAGAATTATGGTGATATTTTTTTGGAGGAATCACAGGTTGGCTGACATTATTTCTTTAGAGGACAAGCGCTGCACAACATTGATTCTGGGACCTGGCCTTTGAATACTTTCCTTTTTATTACAGTGCCAGCTGTCCAGAACATGGTTCTGATGACTGTACTTTTTAGAATATGTAACTCATTTGTGGTTTTTAAACTAGATGCATCTGTAGCCAGGTCAACAATGGTCAATACAGAGCTCTTCTATATTTATAAGTGAGAAGAACTCATGCAGTATGATGAATTTTAGTGTGTGCTTATTTAAAAAAAAATACAGAAAGGACAAAAAGATAGATAGATCTGTACAGAAATGCATTGTAAAATCCAGGAAGAAAAATGAAGAGTAGCTTATTTGGTTATGCATAGAAATGATAATGACATTATTTATACTACAGTATTTGAATTATGTTAAACCTCTTGTTATTTCAGCTGCCATGACAGTCCTGTTTGCTCCTGAGTAAATTTTGATCGAAGTATATCATTAAGGATGTGAGTATGTAGAACTTTGGCTAGTCAATTATTTCATTTTTGTTGCAAGTACTTTTTAGAAGCTGTGTAAGTGGGAAGTTTGCAGTTTGAAACTATGTAAATGTTATAGTCTCTTGCCATTTTAATGGCCTTAAGTGATGAATTTTTATAATTAGTCTTATATCTTTATTTTAAATTTTCATGCTGAAAGATAATTTGAAAGCTCTCATCAGTCTGACACTTTGGATAAAGGAGGAACAAAGTCAGCCTTCATAAATGCTTTAAGTAATATGATTATAGAGTTAAAAGCTTGGCAGAAAAACATCATAGTAAATAAATCAGGAGCCTGTTGTGTACTTTAAACTCAAGACAGCTCAAAGAAAATCAGACCTTGAATTTGTTTAGACAGGTAGCTTAAGAGTAGTTTTCTGGTAGTTTATCTCCATATTTAGAGAGTTTTTATTAATTTCAAAGGGCTAAAACCAGTTACAACAGTAAACTGTTAAGCTGCTTACAAGGAAAGTGGTTACTTGAAATGGCATTGGAACAAAAGTAAGTGAAGGACAGTGAGCGCTTCTAGATTTTTTTTCTTAGTGAGAAAAGATTCTAGATTTTTTTTCTTAGTGAGAAAAGATTCTAGATTTTTTTTCTTAGTAAGGTTAAGAATTGTGTAAGCCCTAGTACTCTTACAGGAATTCATTTCTTAAAGAGGATCAGAGACAAGACCTAGACAGAGTTATCTGTGGGTGCCAGAAATAGTCAACCCAGAGCTGGACAAGGAACTGAAGAGAAGGCAGAGAAATTCATGTTCCCCAATGTGCTGGTCAATTGGGGTTTGACTTTGCAAGTTCAGGGTTTAATTTTCAAACAGCCCTTGGAGAAACTGAGTACGAAGAGACAGTGCACAGGATTTGTATTACGTATCACCTGTAAACTGGAGGGATTTTTGCCTCCCAGAGGTGTTCTTGAGCTATGTACATAAATATTTGAAAGATGGCTATAGATTCATGAAGATGTCAAGAGAAATAAACACACATGAAATCTGTCGATGAAGGAGAGGAGAAGCTTCAGTTCTGATGCTACAAAATACAAACTTCAGTGACTTTCCAAGAAATGTTTTTTTTAACAAATGTTCTGTGCAGGGGAAGACAGTTCAGAAATCAGTGGGGTAGAAGTAAAATAAACAGTAAGTATGTCCATCTTAACCCCCAACTTCAGTTGCTAACAAAAGTATTATAAGTTTATTTTCCATGTAAAGAAACAAAGATGGTATGAAGAAGTTGGGTTTGTTTTCCTAGAATTTAGCCCTGTCACTTGTGATAAATAAAGATCTGAAAGGAATTAAAAGACTTCACATCAGCAGGAGTAGAAGCAAGCTGATTAAACAGATTCAAATTCTCAGAAATCTTTGAAAAAATACATTTTATGTCTGTTGACTGAGTGCCAGTGAAGAGTATAAAAGACAAGAAGACATGGAGTAAGATTATTATTTGAAAGTCTCTTTGCATTGACAGGTTTAGTTCATTAAGCTGAAGCATATTATATCAAAATGCTGTACTTGATTTGTATTTTTAAAACACAAAGCAGTTACTTAAGCCGTGATTTTCAGGCACTATGGGGAAATTTTTGTAAAGCAGCTTAAGAGTCAGATTTAAAACAAGCCAAAGATACATTTTAGCTGTGAAATTCAACACTTAATGTAAATGTTCCTCCTTCTGTATCCTGGGTTGCATCAAAAGCAGTGTGACCAGCAGGTCAAGGATGTGATTCTGCCCCTTTGCTCTCTTGCGAGACCCCACCTATAGTACTGTGTTCAGCTCAGGCACCCACCACATTAGAAGGATGTGGACCTATTGGAGCAAATCCAGAGTGGGGCTTTGAAGATGACCAGAGAACTGGAACACCTGTCCTGTGAAGGCAGGCTAAGAGAGCAGGTCTTGCTCAGCCTAGAGAAGAAAAGGCTGTGGGGAGACCTTAGAGCAGCTTCCAGTTACTGAAGGGTGCCTACAAGAAATCTGGAGAGGACCTTTTTACAAGCGCTAAGGATAGAAGGAGGATAGGACAAGGGGGGATGGCTTTAACCTGGAAGAGGGTAGGTTTAGATTAAATATTAGAAAGAAATTCTTTACTGTGAGGGTGGTGAGCCATTGGAACAGGTTGACCAGAGAAGCTGTGTCTGCCCCATCACTGGAAGTGTTCAAGGCCAGGTTGGATGGGGCTTTGAGCAACTTGGTCTAGTGGAAGGTGTCCCTGCTCATGGCAGAGGAGTTGGAAGTAGATGACACAAAACATTCTATGATTATCAGGAGCTTATAACTTGGTCATAGTCCATGAAGAGTTAGTGCCTTATTAGCAGGGGTTTTACAGCAATAGTGATTTTGTACCTTTAATAAATATATCTGCTTTATTTGTATCTACAGGAGAACCGAGTGACTATCTTTTACATAGAAGCTACTGATTAAAGCTTTCCTCTGAGAAGAGAAAATCTTGACTCTGGGCCTTGTTTATTTGCAATACAGTCAAATTTTCATTCTGAGAATTTTTTTTCTTTTTTTTTAAAGATTCAACAATATAAATACATCCTGAAATTAAAGTTCTTCATTCTACCTATAAGGATAGTGTTACAATTAACTTCTAGGTTAGTTCCAGGCTCTGTGTTATATTTAAATTTTCCAGACTTCACAGGTTTTTGTATTGTTTTCTGCACCCTGGCCCAGCAATTGGGAGGGCCACAGAATTTCCTCCCACATCTCTCTAGTCTAGATTTTACGTGAGTAGCTAGGGAACCCTACTGGAATGTGAAAGATACAGATTTGAACTCCCTTATTATGCAAGTGTGGAGGCAAAACAGCTATGCTAATATATAAAAGGTGGCAACTTTCAGTAGCTTCTGCTGCTTTTCTTTTTTTTGGTGAAATATTTAGTGGAAAAGAGAATATACCTTGAGTACCAAAACAAAAAAGTACTCACTGAGAGAGAGTATGTCATGGACTGAAGTTTCTTTTGAGCAGCCCTTTGAGCTGCTACACATTCAAAGATGTCAGTTAAAATTCTCAGTTAATTGGTTGTTTTGTTTTTTTTTTTTGTTTTTTTTTTTTTGGTGCGGTTTTGTTACTGTAATTTTTTTGTTTTGTTTTGGATTTTTTTTTTCTTTTTTTTTTTTTTTACTCTGCCTGGGCTTCTCTTAGGATATAGATTTTCTGACTATGAAAAGCCCTGAAATCTCACACATTTTAGAATGGCACTTGCATATAAGTTGTAGGCAGGTATATAACATGTTATATATCTTCTGGGTACTTTCCAAAGCATCTAGGCTCTGAAGATAATAAATATCACTGGGGGTTAACATGGTAATCTCCCAAATGGAAGGTTCTGTCTACTTTATGATCCAGAGGTGCAACTATACCACATATAAAGAAAAAATTATAGCCTTAGTCTAGATTTTTCACTCAAGTCCTACCAAGAACAAAGTGATGTCAATATGAACTTTAGTAAAAGGTCTATAAATATGTCTTTGAATCTTTGAGACACTTGCTGATTTAGTATAAGTAGAAAAACCAAACCCCAGAACGTTGGAGACAGGCCAGTTTCTAGTGAGGGAAAAGAGATGGAGATGAGGGCAGACTTCAGAAGGGGAGTACTTAACTACAGTGCTGAGAGGATTTAGAGAAAGAAAAGGGACCGAGTTGGAAAGAATCATACTGAAAGGATCTGCTAGGAGGACAAAACAAGTTGTGATACAGAGAATGATAATGCAGACACCGGTTAGCAGGTGGAGTCTTGATGTGGCCTTCTAAATAACATAACCATAACCCTAACAGTGACATTTGTATAGCCAGTCAGTTATAGGAAGTGATAAACATGCAAAGAAATTATAGCAATTGGATTCAATATCACAGAGACCCTGTAATTAGGTGAATCACACTTCACGATGTACAGGGAACAAATAATAAAAAAGTAATTATCCATTATGGAAAAAACTGACTAAGGGCTGAGAATTAATTACAGAGTGAGCTACTGAGAGAGTGGGCACCTGAGGAGGTGGACATGAGGAAATGAGTAGCCAGCAAAGAAGCCAAAAGTACCAGGTGTTTCTGAGTGATGTTAAGTGGCCAAGTTTTAACCAAATGGGCTCCAATTGTGCCTCCTGCTGAGTTCTAATCTGTGCTGAGAACATCATGCTGCCTTGTTAAGTGCTAGGAGAAAGGGAGAAGGTGATGACTAATTTTGGCCATGTGAGAAGGAGGGTTGAGTTAAGCTCTACTGTTGACTTGTTTTTCAAGTCTACAGAGCTGCAAACCACAACTGTGATTAGGGGCTTTACTCTTTATTAATCTATTTTATTTTGGTTATACCAGAGAAGCTAATAGATCTTGAAAAGGCTTTTCTCTAACTGGTTTTGAGTTTTCCATTTAAATGATCTCTCTTAACTTGTGCTGGATGAGCCTTGGTCGTGTTTTTGATAATTCTACCCAAATATGTATGTACACAAAAAAATGCTTTCTCCTGTCTCCTGTCCTTTACTTACCTGCAGTTATTCCTATTTTCATTTTCTAGCTGCTGTCAACGTGATTTTAGGTCTGATGCAAAGTTCACCAAGTTTTGCAATAGTCTTTGTCTAGACCCTCCTGTGAACTGCTTGAGACTTGCCTCATTTTTCTGCCAAGAATAAGAAACTGATGGAGTTCCTTATTCAGCTTGGATGGTAAGGGCTTAAGTACAGGGTGCTGGAATTCAGAAGTTTCTCCTGAGGAGAGGACCCTATGTTAGTTTTCTGGCTTGTATAGCTGTTGTCTTTCTAACTTATTAATACCCACATGGAAAATGAGAAGCTGTCTTGTGCCTGATTGGAAATGAGACTTGAAGCACCTTCCAGGAGACCATGGATTTAAAAAAACCCAAACAAACATGTAGCCGAAGTATGTTGTTATATTTTCCTGAAGTAATTGATGAGGTAGTTACTTCTATGTCACCACTTATTTTATATTTCAGTAGGAAAAAAAAAATAAAATTTAGTATTACAAAATATAGATTCATGAATTACATTAATCTGTAAAATTAGATCAGGTTTTGGATGGAAGTAAAAGAAATTTTGATAATGACACGTTCTGTGTGGGATAGCATCTTTGATTTAATATTATTAAAGAAACAATGAAACTTCAGATTTTTTTTTCCTTTGTTAGCTTATTGCTACAATTAATTCATGTAAGACTTTGTTTACCCTTCTTTACTGCTACAGACGTTATCTAACAAAGTAATTTCATTAAATGGACTCTGTTTAAAGTTTCATTAAATGAGGAAAGGAATTGTGATTCTTGTTATGATTACACAAAGCACAAGTAACGATTATGTAAATTTCCTTGCAACATTTTCCTACTTGCTCCTCTCCACAGAAAGCTGGACATTTCTCTGCCTTTGTTTTGCTGCTCCAGTGAAATGAACCTGAATTGTTCTCCCAAAGGAAAAATAAGAGGTGACAGGAAAACTGGACTTGGTGTTTTTCTCCAGTACTAGAGGATGGAAAAGGAAAGGGCTAGAGTGCCTGCTGTGAAGGAAGAGGGAACATGGCCCAGCAACTGATGTTGTTTCACCCATCCTGGGCTTTTGTTTTGATAGCTGCTGCAGCAGACATTCTGGTTCTAGTATGAGCAAAATCAGCTTGGCTGTTGGGAGGCAGGGGAAGAGGGGGTCAGAGTAGCCATAGCCAGCTGCCGCTGTATTCAGCTGCTTAGGCAAATAATTACCTTGTATTGCTGCCCTGAGCTCTATGTTCCTGTGTCCTAGCCCTGAATGTCTTCTGAATGGTGATGGCAAATAATTTTTAATGTCATTGCCTTTTTTTTCAGTTATTTGTTTGTTTGGTTTTTTTTTTTAAGAAATTTTGAATGGCTGTTCAACCAAAGATTTGAATGTCAGATAAAGTCTGTCTTGTCTTTGCAGTTTTTTGATACATATGAGAAATACATTCAAAAGATACATTAAAAACATGCAGTTTTCTGTCTTTAGCTACTAAATGTCTTTATTTTATAATAAGATTTCTAAGCCGTCAACTTACAGTAAGAAGAAACAGGTTTTCTTAGACTAGCTGATTAAGTGGACAAGCTCATGAAGGGACTGTGCTTTAAAGCTTTCTGCCTTTTATTATTATTGGATTGTGCTTGTATTTCTGTAACAAATCATTGCTTTGGGGTCAGTGGGAATTCAGAATTCTTAATTTCTTCCACAAATAAAAACCCAAATTAGGCACCTGGCAGAGGATTTGGAAGAAAAAAAAAAAAATTTACAGTCCTATTTAGTGTTACATACATTTTGTTCAGATAATCTTTGAGTGTACTCATAAATAGCTTGCTACTAACCTTGTTGCTTTGGTATGAGTTCTGTTTTCTTATTGGCCTCTGCTTTCTGTGGTTCAGCTCTGTTTTTATTTTCACCCTTAAAAAAAATGAACAGCATTAGAAACTGTAGATGCTCTTTGCTGAGAATGATTAGGATGGTTTAATGTCTGCAACGTTCTAGGAATTTGATTAACCAAGCTGACAGGCACTGAGCTTTGTTCCTGGGTGTTCTGTGTATGTTCTTGGAGAAGACTTTCCACATAGGTTCACAAAAGGACTTAGATGCTGAAATAAGAAACTAATATCTTCACATCTGCTCTGCAAACCCAGTTACTTAGCCTGGAGTTCTGCCATAGTGTGCTCCCAGAGCCTTCTTCTTGTCATCAAGGCTAATGTGTTCAGTGCTGCCACTTACAAACGGGTCTGCATCTCTGAATCAGTCATTCTTTTGCCTAAACCTCCTGCTGGACTAAGAGGCCTGGTATGTTTTGAGCTACCTTACCGCACTGACAAATCTCGATCTTCACAAAATATAGAGGCAGAATCGACTTTCACTGCAAAAAAAAAAACAAAACCCCACAAACTTCCTCCCACACTGGTTTAGATTCATGAACCAAGTCCTCATGTACGTTGGTTTGTCTGGCTTTGACAGGATGGTCCTTTGAGAAGGGAGTGAGTAGTGTATGAGGAGTCTTAGGTGTTCACAGTACCATGAAACAGCATGCTGTTAATCAAGACTGTAAGCCTTTTTTTTTATCCCAGATAGAATGAATTTGCCTGGTGTTTATTGTGTTGATTAGTAGAGAAAAATATTAGAGAGTATAAACATATGGAAAAATACTTGACTTCAGAAGATTTCAGGTCTTTTTTTCCCCTCTTCCTCTAAATTGTGACCTTCTCTTTGAGTCTCTCAGATTAATTTGGGGGTTGCCTTTTTCTATGAAAGTATTTGTTTTTTCCTGTCTGGTTTTATGTGTTATGTAAATTTCTTCTTTTCTCTTTAGATGGTATCTTCTTGCTGGCAGGAAATGTCTTAATCCTTGACCCATTCATCTGCCTCCATTTTAACAGTATGTAATAGCGGAGGCTGCTGCTGTTATGATCTTAGTGTTGCACTAATCTATGGAATTATTCTGGTGAAAGAAGGAGTCCATGTCTCCAGTTTTCCAAGTGAGGTATCAGGCCAAACAGAAATTAACTGTTGAGATTCAGAACTTTTACTCTTTCACGACAATGACATCAGAAAACTGGTGTGCAGAACTTTAAAAGAAGCACAAACAATACTTTTTGCCTGCAGATCTGAGGTATGAGAAGTTTGCTGAACATAGATATTTTGCCATTTTTTGTGGATGGTGCTGTGCATGTATCTATCCATAAAGCAGTTGTTTTTTACATCTTTAGAATGAATCAAATTTGAGTTGTAGTTGGGCTGGATTAAAACATGCCTCTTCGTGGGTTTATACAAGCCTTTGAGCTTCAGAAAAACATCAGTTCTAGGAAATGATTCAGACTTACGAATATTCATGGTTTTATCACTTTAAGTAAAACTATAAAATTTATGGCATTTTTGTACATGTAGTTCAAGGCTTCCAGAAGTTAAGTCCGAGTCTTTCTATATGCTCGATAGTGGATGTGTGAAAAGGCACTGCTTATTTAAAATTAACTTTACAATGGTGGAATTTCAATTGTTTCCCTAAACAAGAATTCAGATTAATAGCTCAGACTGATACTAAAGAACTCATTTAATTGGTTAACCAGTTAACTGGTGAAACCCCAAATTGTTGCCAGTTTGCCTTTCGAAGTTTTGATTCTGTCAAGCAAGAATAAAACAAAAAACTGTCTAGGATGTTATTGGGAAAAGATAATTCAAAAGTAACATAGTCTCATTATAAAATATTCCATTAATTAAAACAAAAATAACGAGCTAACTTTTACAGTAAAGAACTACCAAATAAAAAATATAGGCTGTAGATTAATACAAATTACTGTATTTTTCAAATAGGAGTTACATTTGTAAAACCAAGCCAAATAAAATACTACCTAGAAAAGCTACGAAACTACTTTGCCTTTTCAGCTCTTATTGAGAAGCAGGTTGATATATAGCTGTATGGCATTCCAATATTCAGAAGGGATATACTGACATTTCCTGCCAGCAGGGAACAAGATGAAGAGGAATACATCAGCACATCAAAAGCAGTCATACCAGTATTTCTAATTTGCCATTTGCAATGTTGGTGAAAGCCTCTCATAAGCTTGTATGTACTATTTGAGGTTAGCCCTATTTGTAAAGCAGTTTACAAAAGGAGGAAATCTTTGCTTCCTTCAGAAAGAAAAGGTGGGAGGGAAGAGAGGAATAAAAACATTAATTTTGTTTTGCTAAAGATTGATTCTGTGCACAGTAAGCATGTTTGAAATTCTACAGCATTTGTTTACATAAATATCCTGGCATTATAATAATGCCATATACATAAATAATCTTTGGCATTTACATAAATACTTCCTAAACAAAAGGTAAACCATAAAAAGCTATACCTGGCCTGTAGATACCTTGGATGGTGAGGAGACACCTTCATTCTTGCAAAGTGCTTCCTCAGGTGATAATTTTGCTCTAGAAAATACTGCTTTTAGATTTTTAAACATCTTGTCTGTTCAGCTCTCCTGAAGCCTCTATAACTCTTTCACCATGAACTTGTATATAGCATTTGTTTTCTTGCCATCAAGCCAATTAGACACTTAATCAGGTTTAGGTCTGGTTAATGCCTTAAAGAAATTCCTTGCACAGTCTGTTCCAGTGATGTCTTTTTCTTACCTTAGTACTTTTTGTTTATGTTGTAGACTAAGTTATTTCTAATCTTGACAGTTACACTCAACTTTTAATGCACAAATTCAGAGGAGAGTGAACATGTTCTGGTTAGAATAAATCAGTGTCTGATCTTTCATGTATTGGATATTGAACATTTAATTTATACTCACAAATGAAGTTTTAAGTCCTAAAGACACCTGTATTTTAACCAGGAAAGGAAAAAGACTAATTGAGCAATAATCAGCAGCAACTCAGTAAATTATGTGAGATCTCAAGATGTTTAATTTCCTTAAAGTCCTGAACTAATTTTTATTTTTTATTTTCTGAGTGCATGATACTAAAAGCTCTGTTGTTGTTTATATTAACAAGTTTATAGCTTGTTTTATTCCACTCTTCTTATTTTAAAATGTGGAAATAATTTCATCTTTCTTTTTCTAATGTATTTACAGAAAATACTATTTTATGTAGAATTTTAGCTACAATTTTTATGAAATCAAGTTTTGACTGAATGTCCTACAAATGAGGAATATATAAGTTTTGATAGTGTTTATAACTAGCACATGATTTTGAGAGTCTAGGCTTTGTCTCATCCTATAGAAATCTCTATGAAATCAAGCATGATTTAGTTTACAGGTAAAACTCAATTTCAGATACCTGTAGTATCACACTGATTCAACTCCTCTTAAGAAGGATCTTTACAACTTTATTGTCTCTTCCTTTCCTTAATTTCGCTTTATTTTTTACAAGTCTATGCCTTCACTTTAAGCAATGAATTTGTGCTAATAACTTATAATTGATTTGTCCTGGTGATCAAGGCATCAAGAAATGCAGAAACCTATTCCTTTGAGCTGTTTCCATAACTACGTATTTAGCAATTAGATTGGAGTATTGAAAATGTCCCAATGGCTGCCTCCTTGGGGCTTCTGTTGTCTGGCAAGGTGGTTTTTAATATTCATTCTAGTGCAGTAGTAACTGTAAGAATGAAACAATAATTTTCATTAGTTAATGCAGGAAAAAGACTTGCAAACTGACACTTATGAGGCAGACCTTACAGTAGTTGGCCAGACTTCAGTCTTGCAACTGGGAATCACAGGCATAATTTCATAGCTCTTAGATGCAGCAAAAGCATGGAACCTCCCTTTTTTATTAAGGTCTGTGTTCTGTTTTACTTTAAAGTCAATGCAGTTCTTACTAATGCTTCAGTCTGTGCTTAAGCTTAGTGTTTGAATGATTAAATTATAAATTAATATCTAAAATATTTTCATTTATAAAATATTTGCAGGTCTGGAAAATATATAGCTTCTTTTCTTTTGGATGTGAAATTATGCCTCTGTCTTCTTTTTATGTTCTGGCTCATTACAGAAGAATCTCCAAAGATATCCTAGAAAACAAGTTAATTATTCTTTTGCTATGTGAAATTTTAGTGGATTAAATTGGCTAATGAGGAAACTTTAATCCATCGCCAGATACAAGCTATACCTGCAGACTGAGCTTTTTTGAGATCAACTGTTTTCTCATTATAAAAGAAGAAGTTCTTAATTATTGAAAGTTCTTTGAATAGGTAATTTTGTTTCTTGTTTCTTAAAAATGAAACAAGTTTTGCATGAAGCATAATACAATACAAACAGATGGCACTTATTAGCGGAAAATATGTATCTCCTTTGGACTCCTGCAAAACTATGCACATTCATCTTTTAAAAAATGCCAGACAACAACATGGTTTAATTTTTTATTTTACTATAGTATTTATGCTGATATTAACTTTTAATTAAAAGGCATGCAAAAAGAATGTAGTGGACATTAAAAGAAAAATACCTTTGGGAACATATAAAATAGCTATTGACATCCTCGGTTAATGAATGTTATATTGGTTTAGTCTGTGACTAATTAAATCAATGTTTGAAGCCCCTTCATATGATGGGATTTTGTAAATAATAAGCAAACTACAACAAACTTAATATTTTAATACCACTGGAGGTATAAGCTCACCTCCTGACCCAGGTAAGATGATTCGTCTGCTTCAATATTTCATTGTCTTCTGTGTACTATGGCTAGTTAGCCATTTTTATCAGGCTCTGATTATGCTAAAAGCACTTCAGTTAATTGGCTATCATGATTCACTGTTAAGTAAGAAGATTAAGAGTGCAGCAGCGAAGCAGATAGCCTGTAACCAGTTAGCTTCTTAGCTATGTTGGTTTGACCAGTGCTTACTATATGCTGCATTTATGGTCAACCCTGCAGGGGTACAGGAATGTCAAGCCTGTCTTATATATTCTGCAGATACAGGGGGAGTAATTTATTAATAATGCACCCCCTTTTCCACTTTATTTTTCCTTCAAGGGAATGTTGCTCATTCATTTAAAATTTTGGCATATGCATCAGCTTTCTAAACTTCTGACAACCTTTTTCTTTGAGGGATTTTTATTTCTTAATCTAAAAATAAATTTGAAATATGGCACTCACAGACTGAATCTTATATTCTAAACTTGCACAAGAGATTATTCTCCATGAAACAGCAGGTGTCTTAGAAACCCAGGTAATTCAAATGCCATGTGGCACTTGATTTGCAATAAATGCTAAAACAATTGGCAGGACTCTTTTCTATCCCCCATTTGAAGCAGTATTAATGCAGCATTTCTTAAATCATAAGAATATACAAAAGGAAGCATGACTCCTTTTTCTGAATAATTAGGATAGTTGCTAATGCGAAGAGATTCCTTTCTTCAAGACTGTTCTTGAAGGTGTTTATTGTTGGGCTTTTTTTCTCTTTTGTTCCTCCTGGTATTTAATAAGCATCGAATGTGAATTCCAAGGACTGCTTTGCATTCCTCATCAGGCAGTGTCAGTTTCTCCATTTGTTTGAGTCTACAGATCAATAGACACAATCTCAAGTTGTTTTTTTTTTTGTATTAAATCAGGTGTAGCGTGTTAAAAGACTAAAGCCTGAGCTTCACTTCTATTCTGATCTTCCCGCAATACAAAACGTAATGTGCAGGTGTTTTTCACAGGTATCTGCCTTCAGTTTATCTGCATGATTCAAGGATCTTGACAACTAAGAGTAGTACTTCTTTCTTTAGGGCTCTGTAATAGTAGACAGAATCTAACATTTATCATATTTTTTCCTCTGATCAGTGTAAGATTTGCCAATTTAGCTATTTTTTATAGATTAAAGGAAGTCATAGGACTAATTTATCTAACTTATCTGTCTTCCTTAATTCTGAGGGCTTTGTTAAAAGACTTTTTTTTTTCTTCTTTTTCTCAGATAAAAATGGTTCTGGAGCTCAGATTTCTCATACCTGCTAATTGTCTAATTTTTTTTAAACTTAGATGAAACTATCATTTAACTAACAATGCCTTAATAAAGAAAATTAATTCATGCTTTTAATGGAAATTTGTCTCTTTAAATACACAGTCATGACCAAAAAGTAACTGTAGTATTCAATGAGGTGTCTTCAGAAACAGCAAAGGTTACTTAAAAGAAGACTTTTTGCTGTTTCAGTTAGTTATATACTTATAATAATACTTCATATTGTTATATACTAATTTTGTTCTGATTCATAAGGCTTTTCTTATGTTGCAGTTTATACACTGGCACAAATGTACCGCAATCAGTCTCTGCATCCTAAGTGAGGCATAAAAGGTTGTATGGTCTGGAGTAATCTGGAAATACACAATAATAGTGATTGTTTTGACCTTCAAGGAATGCAGACTCTATTTTTCCCTTTCAAATTCATTTTTATATAACAAATCAAATTAACAGGATTTTTTCAGCTTACAAGAAAAGAAAAGATGGGAAAACTTCTGCAGCAAGAGGCTGGAAAAGACAGTGTGCTGGTACTTCCTGCTCCTTTTCACATTCCTCTACATGAAATTACTTAGTTAAGGTAGGAACCATATCCTAAAGACTCATTTTCTGGAGCCTTCACCAGATCCTGGCTAGCTCTGAGTGTGATACTATCATCATGCCATAATGTGATGGGTGGGTTGGAGGAGGTGACAAAATTGACTGTCAGCCTGCCAAAACTATGTTAGGTGGTATCACCTCTTGCTTGTGACCTCTTTTGATGAAAGTAACATGTGAATCAAATGAATAGGGCATAAGATAGAAAAAAAAAGACCACTTATGTTTGATTATGCTATTGGTCTGAAGGCATAAAAAAAGGTGAAGAAAAGTTCTTGTCTACTAATAAAGTACACATCCCTTAGTATGCCTGGTTTTTTGCTTTTTTTTTTTTCTTCTCAAAACAAAAATGGCACCAGATGTATAAGTGTCCTTATGGGCAGAATTTCCTTAGTAGCAGTATGTTACTGCTTAAAATGTGACTCATCACATGAAAAAGTTTTATCAACTAGGGTAGTGCTGCAAAGTCTCTCTCTCTCACTTAAATAATATTCCAAAATGAGTCTGTGGACCAAGGGATAAAAAGGAACAATCCTTTGGAAAGTGATCATGAGGCCTACCTCGAAGAGCTGTAGCCATGGGCTAGGTCACTGAAAGAATTAGACCTCCTGCAGCCCCTCCTGTAAGACCACATATCTCAGATTGGCAATTTAGGGTCTCCTCACTACCTTAGTTGGTAACAATACTGGTTTGGAATGTGCAAAACTTCATTCTCAGAAGCAAACAACTTAAAAATCAGTGCTCTCCTGACAAATGTAGTCATTTAGAAATACTATTGATGTCATAGTCCCCTTTCTCTTCCCATTTTTCATGCATCTCCATGGAGAAGAATAAATCACAATAGAAGAGATTTTTTGCCACATCCTTTAGATGGGAAATCACTTGTATGTGGTCTCCTGGATATTTTCCAGGGGAAGCCCTCTGTGTGTGAGCCGCTTCTAGGAAGACTGGGGTTATTCAAAATATAAAGTACAAGTTCTTGTCTTTCATAAAATGTGACATGAACTCAAACATCATCTGTACCATTCCATTTTCTGTGAATATGTACTGCAGCTGTTCACAGTAGGGAAGTTGACAAGGGCTCCTCTGC